AGTCACAAAGCGGCTCATAACAAAGTGGGGCATCTCACTAGCTATAAAGTATTTATATATGTGAAGAGCCAAGTCCTTTCAGCCAAGTGCCTTCATGCAGATCCCTTGGCCGTGCCTCAGTCCTTTTGGGAACTGGGGCACTTTGAGAGCCAGAGTCCACAAATTTGGCCTGTGGGCTCTCATATAGCCAAAATGTAGGCTAATGGATACTCTGTCTTGTATAAACAGAAAATAGCTAAGCACAAATTGAGCTAACGTAATGCAATGTGTAGATTTTTACTTATTTATGGAAATCATTAAATAAGCTAATTGTCTCTGAGTCAGGGTATAGGCTAGTCGTTGCCTTCAACACACTAGCACTCTTATTCAATTTTAAGGATTTATGATGAAGATGCTTTTAAAATGTTTCGACTGCGTTGCGTTGCGGTGCGTTGGGTCTGTCGATGTCACCTTGGATTTGGGACAAGGCTTTACTTGTCTCTTTTTTTTTGTTTTTTTACATTCTTTTTTTGAGGTAAGGGCAAGGGCCACTCGACTCTAGCCGCAAAAGCCGAAATGAAAACTGCGCCGAAATCTAATTTGTTTCGCTTGCCAATGCTACCAGAGAGGTGCCTGGCTACATGACGCATGGGACACTGCAGTCTCGGGGGCGTGCCAAGGGGCATGGCCAAAGCCAAAATGGGTTTTAGCGAACGATTTGTGGCCGGGACGAGCCCAAAGCCGAAGCCAGCGCTAGAGTTGGGCCTGCAGCAAATAGAAACCAACTGGCATCGACTGTCGCATTCCCAGACCTGTCCACCTTTGACCCCCCCCCCCACACACACACACACACACCTCGCTCAACTCTACACCCAGAAAAATGAATTGCCTATAACAGTTCGAAATTGGCTTACGTTGAATTCGAGTCCAGGCAAAGCTGGACTGTATTTTGTTTAAAATAAGTCATTTGTTGCTCTTATATTGTGTTGTTTTATGCCCCTAGCTAAATTTCATTTTAGATAATAAACCCTTTTGAATATAATCCAATTAGCCCTACGACCTAAAATTACACACTGCCTAATCCCTAGCATTGATATTACTACAAATAAAACATATTTATTATTACTTATAGAATTTATTCTTTTATGCCTAATTTTCAGTGCCTCTGTTCTTAAAACTTACTTTAAGAACAAATATCTTTTGCTTACCTAGACAACATTTGAAGCAATTCCTCGCATTAATTCCCACAAATAGGAAAATAGAAATATTTGTTTGCCCTACAAATTATTTAAGAGCTTTACATTGACAATGATCAAGGAATAAATTAACATGTTGTAGTAATGCCATAACAAATCTATAATACCCTCTACAAGGGTAAAACTTTAAAAAAAAAATCAGCAAATACAAAGTAAAAGAAGTTTTCCATTGAAGCCACATTGTCCGTTTGGAATTTAAAATTAAATTTTAAAAACTTCTTTTCAGTAAATGTTTTCTTTTTGTTGGACATGCTTTTTTACGAGTGTAGAGGGCCTTCCGCTTACGGAACGTTGCTTCAGTCGAAGTTGATGGTCCGACAGTTGCTGTTGTTGTTGTTGTTCTTGTTGATACGTTTGTTGGTATTTGGGCAAGCGGATTATGACCCTGATCTGGTCAGGTGCCGTCCATGTCGACCGCTGCACGTGTGTGTGTCCCATTGAGCTCAAGTTTCACTTTACCAACTGCATGCCACCACACCTACCGCACCACCCGCCCCTCCCCCCGCTGCATCCCATGCTGCATGTGTGTTTGCCAACTTTCTGGTTACTCTTGTTATTGGTTTACGGGTCGCATGTGCCCGTCGCCTGCTTGTGTCATTAATTTCCGTTTTTTTTCTGTTTTCTTTTTGCATTTCTCCCATGGAGAGAAAGTTTCTCGGCCCGACGAACGCTTATCGTAGCATAGCTTTTAGCTGAGCGCCCGTTCGCCCACCTGCTGCTGGCACCCTGCACCTGCACCTTGTTTGAGGTTGATAATGAAAAGTTTTTGGCTTTGGCTTTGGCGTTGTGACACATGATTTATGCACATCTCTGCCCGATCGAATACCCTTAGCATTCCATTCAAGTTTGTCTTCTGCAATGTGCAGCCAATAACTAATCATAGGTTTATCCGTTTATCATAGGTTTATAATTCAGTTCGGGTTCACAACATTCACAATCTATTCCAGTTCAATTTTTATTGCCTTCCATAACACAGTTGCAACTCCGCTGTTCAAGAATTTGCGTAAATATTTCCTATTCCTTAGTCCCCCTTTTTGTCATGAATGTTATGTTATGAATATAAAACTAGTAAGAGTCTCAAGTCGGAAGTTCCCAGCTAGGGGATACCCTGAACCCTCGTCAGCAGTAACAAAAATAAATTAAAAAAAAAATTATTCCGTCGGTAGGGTTTGAACTCGCAACAAACCACACTACTTGCTAGATCGACTCGGCTATTGATGATGATCAGGGATATATATACTTTATGGGGTGGAAGATGCTGCCTTCTGCATGTTACATACATTTGCACAAATACAATTTTCCCTCTTCACCTATATAGGTCTTTATTTATATATGAAGGTACATAACACAAAGCAAATATACACATTTTACATTGTGAACAGGCAATAGGATAAGATATTATATAGTTTATATAGAGAGATGGGCATGGCTTGCTCGACTCAACTCGTCTTTCTGATCTTTTGCCTGTTACTTACACACATACAGCTTCTCGCTGTTTATATGTATATATATATATACATAGTCAATCAAAATGTATAATATGTTTAATTATTTTGAACGCTACGTTTTTGATTTCATGTTGAACAAGGTTCATATAAGATCAGTACATAAAAATATCTCCATATTTATTAAAATAACTTTTTTACAAATAATATTTTAACCGATTCTTTTCATTCTTAAATCTCTAGTTTTTAATGCTCGATATTTCTTATTCTTATTTTACCACTTTTATATTAAACATGAACTTAAAAGGAAACTCTTTTTTTATACCCTGATACCTGATAGATATATCTCCGACCCCATAAAGTATATATACTCCAGATCAGCATCAACAGTCGAGTTAATAAAGCCAAGTCCGACTGTCCGTCTGTCTGTCTCAATGCGAACTTGTCTATCGTCTAGGAACTTTAGATAGGTCCATCTTTCTATTGCAGTCAGAAGATATGTCGGAGCCGCCCGGATCGGAATAATGTATCATATAGCTGCCATATCGATCGAAAATTAGATTCTTGTATGAAATAGTTTTTTGTTTCTTAAGATATCTGGACTTATAAGTTTCACTATACTCCCTACATATATGCATTCGAGTCGGAACACTTTATCATCTAGGAATAATCGGCCGAAAAGAATACCCTTGTGTGTGAAAATATTTTGTATTCCCAGATATTTATATCAAACTGTGCACTTTTGAGCTTCACTATTCTCACATATGGTATCTGCAAGACCGCAAGCCAAATGTCTACAAGGGCATTTGTTATTCGGCATCCCAAAAAAATTTACTCACTCTCTCGTTTCTTGGTTGGTAAAAAAAACTTTGATCAGGGCTTACTCCTCAAGCTCTTATTCCATGCGTCAAGCTTTTAATAGTTGTAACGATCGACCCTAGACAAAGGCCCTGAAATAAGAGTTACAGTTTTACACATAAATTTCGATTATTTTAAATATTTTATAAATAAAATAAAAAACGAATATGCTTCGTCAAAATCTTCCCTTGCAGTTGTTGTTTTTGTTTTTCATATTATCTGCTTCATCTTCTTCTTCCGAATGATTTAGCAGACCGCAAAAATCGTAACACGCGCCCTTCGCTCACAGCGTTGTGTGTGTGTGTGTGGGCGTGGCATGGCGTGGCCCCTTTGGCAGCTCCACCTTGTGTCTTATCTGATTAAAACGGCCCAGGCGCAGCGAAAGCGACGACAGCGCAAAGTGAAAGTGGCGATAGGTGGCAAATGAATGAGAGCGAAGGAGCAAGTGAGAGTAGGCTGGAGTGAGAAAGTGAGAGATAGAGAGATAGAGAGAGAGAGAGAGAGAGAGGGAGAGATAGCGGGTAAGGCAGACTTGTGTTTGGCGTAAATGCGAAAATGTTGAACTTGTCTTCGGTTGTAATTGTGCTCAAAAGTTTGTACGTAACACACATACACACACATTTATACACCCACATGTGTGTGTGTGTGAGCCCATTAAAAGGTGCGCTATTGTGAAAACTAATTAATATTTCATTACAAACAGTGTTGCAAAGTGCAGTTGCCCCTAATAAGATGAAATAATAACAAAGTCTGCGACTGGCATAACAACAAATGCGCGAAACAAAGGAAATGTTCATAAAACTTTTCAAAGTGAAAAACAAAGTTGTCTTCATTATTCATTGTCATCTTCTCTAATATTTCATCTTGTTATTGTTTCACTCATTTTGTTCTGTTAGCTTTTGTTGCTGCTGTTGTGCCACTATCGCTGTCTACAGGGTATCTACGACTCATAGTACTTTCTAACACCAGTTAAAATGTATGATTCACATATAGATGGCGTTGCCACGAGATATGAAAGCTGCATTCCATAGCTGGCGCTACCAGGTGTTCGTTTCTGTTAAAGGCAACTCTGTACTGCTCCACACTCAACGAGTGTTCCTCACTTAAAGCGAGTCTAAATATAACGAAAGCAACTCACTGAAGACCCTGCTCCACACATAACAGTATTGCTCCACACGCCAACGGCAGCTGCGATGATATTGAGCAAACAGCGGTTATTAACTATTAATAACGTCATTTGGTTACTTCACAGTTTTATTAATTAGCTCCTTTTGTTTGCCCATGTTTTTTAAACGGCCTAAGTGTGCAAAGCTATAAATGGGACCTGTTTGATAACAGTGCCAATATGTGCTTCTGTAGCATTAATTTATTTGAACACAATGTTAGTTTAACATGGCTCTTTCTGTTAAAGTGTTCCCATCCACAATGTTGAGTAACATGAATTTTGTTATTGTACAATGTGTTGTTGAAGTGTGCGGTTGGTTCTGCGGTCGCCTAAAAAGTATATCAGTTTAAATGCAAGAAATAATCGAAACTAGGCGCATTGTTAAGAAAATAATGTGTCCGTAATAAGTAATTATAAGAAACAAAAGCAATAATATACTCGCCAAACGTTTTAATTGATATTTATCGGTACGGTTGCTGCCGCGTTTCAAACTCGAAAAAAACAAACGCTGAATTATTTTTTAATTAGTTTTAATTAAGCATTACTAGCAAACAAGTAAAAACAGAATTTCGATTGCAGTCAGTTTTGTGTGACTTGTGAATGAAGAAGAAGCAGCAGCAACAACAACAACTACAACAGCAGCAGCAACATCACAACTATAACATCCAACAACAAAGTGATCGTATGGCGCGTCGTGCGCGAGAGTTTTTGTCTGCGTTTGTGTGACTTGTGTGTGCGTACGCGGGCAAGTGTGTGCGCGCGTGTGTGTGTGCGCTGGAATGGAATGCAGCTATGAAAAAAAAGTAAATAAATAATTGAGAGCGCGCGCCCGCGCCTTGCTAGCTGCCTCTCTCTACCATTCGCTGAGCGAACTACGCTCGCTTATCGTGCATCGCGTCCGTGGAAGTATGTTGTTGTATATATGTAGTACATTGCACAAGGCAAAGTAATACAAATAGCATAAACAAGAGAAACCGAAAAGCCAAAAAAAGAGAAGAAAAAAACGCGCGCCAAGTGACAGACAAGTTTTTTTTTTGTGCCAAAATGTCGAATCAACAGCAGCAGCAGCCGCGACAGCATCCACATCCACATCATCATCATCATCATCCGCATCATCATCAGCAGCAGCAACCTGGACAGCACAGCGAATTCCCGCTGCCGGAGGGCTGGGACATTGCCAGGGATTTTGACGGCAAGACCTACTACATAGATCATATCAACAAAAAGACCACATGGCTGGATCCCAGAGATCGGTAAGAATAACATTGGAATAATATACATATATACATATACATATATATATATATATATATACATATTTACACACACACATAAATATGTAGTTTATAGAGACGTCTTGTCAAAGAAGCCTTTTAAAACAAAAAAAACCCCATATAAATTCGAACTCCAACCGGAAAGAAAAGGTGCGTTGCGCATCTGCCAGCGCATGTGTGTGCGTGCGTATTTGCGTGTGTGTGTGTGCATTGGAATGCGGTAAGAAGTCAGAGGCAGCGCGGCAGCTGCAACCGCAACAGCAAGCAGACTACAATAAAAGCGAAATAAATTACATATTTTAACAGGCCAGAAAAACAAAATAAAAAACAACTCAGAAACAAAAAGAAATAAGTTTGAGCATGTAAACATTCCAATGCGATGATTAAGACTCCAAGTATAACTGAACTCAACTGAAGCAACGGCAACAAACAAAAACTGAAATGTAAAACAAAAAAAAATAAAAAAATGTACAGCAAGGCGAACGGCACAGCGAGCGACAGCGACAGCACAGACAACAAGGCGCGGCGGCAGGGGCTGGGCAGTGAAGGGGGCACCGGGGCGTGGGGCCAAGCTGAGAGAGAGCAAAAGTTAAATAAAGCTCACCGAATGATCCGCAAAAAAAACGTAAAACAAAATAAAAGGCAAGCAAAACTAAAAATCCCTCATACGTAATGTGTAGAGTTGTGTGTGTAGAGTGTATGTCACACGCGCACATACAAAGTGAACCACAGCGAAGGAGAGAGAGAGAGAGAGCGTGTGTGCGCTGCAATAGGCACAGTTGTCTGATCGGATGGTGTGTAGAATGGAGAAGTGCGGAGGGGTGCGGCATTGCTAGCGACGTTCACATCAGGCCATAGATACATTTTGTTGGCCCCATGAGCATTTAGCCATTTGCCGTTTCGCCTCAACGTTCGCTCACTTTTTTTTGCTGTGCGCTCTCTCCAGCTGGGGCTCTCCCTCTCGCTTGCTCGCGCTGTCTTTTTACCATAAACAATTGCAAATGTATGTAGGAATTTTGCAGTTTCGAAATAATTGATTTCTCAAATTCTTTTGCTCTATGCATGCATGTGTGTGTGTGTGTCTGTCTGTAGCTGTGCTTCACGCTTTCAATTAACACAAACATTCCCTTTGTTTGTTTCAAATCGCATGGACATTGTTCAAAATGTTTCACTGAATTAAACAAACCGAAAGCGTTGTGGAATTTTTGTTCGCTGTTTTGTTGCGATACGTTTTTGCTTGAGAAATGAAATGAAACATCTGCGCATTTGTTAGGGTTATGCATCGATATATCGTCGATATATTCACATACAAACCCATGTGTACATACATATACAGATATACATATATAAACATGTGCCAAGTGGAAAAAAGGCCAAGATTTCATATGGAATAAGAACGAGATTAGCTGATGAGTAAATGTGGTGCGATTTCCAGTGTCAAAAGTCCTTGAAATTGTTTAGACTGGAACTTACACATCTAGATATGTCCTTATACACTTTTCCTTATAGAATTTTACATATAGTTACACATGTCTTAACCGCGATCTTTAGCTTACCTTTGAAGTTTATCTACGTTTAATTTTAACATTTTGTCGACTATATATTAAATGTATGAAGACTTTCTTCGGATGGTCTTTCAGTGTATCAATCTTTACGTACTATAGCATTACGTACTATCGGTTTACGTACTGTCGCATCATGTAATATCGCATTTAGGGAATTTCCCTTATTTCTCCTATTTCTTTTATTTCCCTCATTACTCCATTTAATGTGTCTTTAATCTTCAGCAAAACGAACGTTAACAACGTGCTCGCATATATTTTCCCCACAAAAATTCCCCCCAACAAATATGTGTGTGGTTCCATCTAGTATTTATTGTTTGCTTTTTTTTTATTTTTTGCTTCAGTTTATTGGCATTTTGCACGTTTCGCATATTTTTGCCACAATTATTTCGCCCCATCTTGCGATATCTCTCTCTTTCTCCTTTTCTCTCTCTCTCTGTCTCCCTCCTTCTCTTTTTATGTCTGTGGTTGCCGTCTTTCTAACACATACTAGTGCTATCTCGCTCTGCCGGCATGCGAGCAGTTATTGAATTTTAAAAATTGCTGCCGGTAGCGCGCAAAAATTCCAATAAGCCATAAATAAATTTATACCATGAGGCGAAGCGAGCCAGGCCTCGGGGCCCATTCGGGGCGAACAGAAATCCCCGCGCGGCGATAAGCAAGCCCGAACTGGGAATACCCTTGAAAATAGGCACCTGGATGAATATTGAGTAGATCGGCTTTAAAGAGAATAAATATACGAATAATGCTCATTTTCTGCATCTTTTTGATTTTAGTTTTGTAAAATGTGACCAACTCTAAAAAACTGAAAAAACGAGACTAGAGAAAGATGATGTTATGTGTAAATTATATCAAAACCAACATTTCAACCAAGTCGATTAACTCAAACTTAGTGTATTGAAATACTTGTGTATTTCACTTGTCTGTACAACTTTTCAACGGGCGTTTTTTTGTTATGTTTTGTTTTTTTTTATTTTCTTTAATTCGTTTTTTTTTTTTTTGTATATAAACAAAAAGTCAAAGACGACTGCGTCAGCGTCGCTGTTGGCCATGCTAATAACGTTTTTGGCCAGTTTCGGCCAACTGTTTGCCCCAACCCAGCGGCACAGTGGAATTTTTTCCTACATACATATATGGCGAATAAACTGTAAAGCATGGATCTTGCTTCTTCTTTTTGTTTGTTTGGTGACAGTTTGTCGACAGTTTCATCGATCATTGTGAAAACATAGACATAGAAAACATTAACAAACTATGGAACTTCAAAAGCTGGGATCATCACTCATCCATATGATCCCATGGATCAGCTTTTAGCTGTAGCTGAAATCTGCTGATTGAGGGTTCACATATTATTAACAGATCCATTGTAACAGCAGCCAATACAACAACCCCAACCCCAACAACACGGCTACCGGTTATTATAGTCGATAGTTCGAATTCGGATTCGTGCTCGAACTCGTTTGTTTTACATAAAAATCGTTATTGACTACGCCGCCAAAATGGGCCTAGCGAAAGCGGCCACTTGTTAACTTTGATAAAAGTCGAACGCAGTGGCGCCAGCGGCAAGCGGCCATTCGTTTAAGGGGTGGGGAGAGTGGGGCAATGCACCACAGCCAACGTCAAATATCTGACCGATATGCGTATCTGTATCTCAAATGGAGCGTTCTAATTCTTTGCTCAACCCGTGGCATTTGCCAACGCATACGTTGGCAATTGCATAAAAACCGCTAAATAGCAGAGCCATGGGTGTGTGTGTGTGGAGCGTGCGTGCCATTATGCATTAGATGTGGTGATTTTTTTCCAACTTTTTTTCTTGCCAGAGCAGAAACAGTAAAATTTGCATAAAATTCAATTTGGTTGCTGCAAAAGATGCCAGAGCCAATTCACACACACGAGCAGTGCGAGAGAAAGAGAGCTAGAGAAAGAGAAAGAGAGAGAGAGAGAGAGAGAGAGAGAAACATGCAGGCAATGCAACTTGGAAAGCTGCAAAACGGCATTTTTCATTTAATAAATTGCACAAGGCAATTGCAATAAAAACAACAACAACTACAAAAACACACGGCAATTGCAACAACAGATTCAAGAAAAAAAGTAAAACATTCTGTTGCAAACCCCGAAAGAGAAATACCCTTGTGTGCAGTTTTTGACAAGGTGTTAGTTTTAAATAATTATTTTAATTTGTAATTAATTATTTACATTATGCTTTTATTGATGTATTATTATATTATATTATATTTATTTATATAATTATTTCGAGGTCATTAAAAATCTGCACAGATAGATATTTGCGGTTTGCCTGCCGCTAAGTGGGCGGGGCCGTAACTATTTATACCAATTGACGCGTTAATACCCTATATTCAAAATTGTGGATCTTTAGCAACTCATGCATTTTGAAATGTGAATGCAAATTTTGAAGCGATTTTAATATATTTTCTGTTATCACAAATGCAAGTTGCATTTCACGAGGCTTCACTGTACAGATGCAGATACACAGCAGCAGCGGCGGCGGCAGCGGCTGCAGCAGCAGCCCGCATTGCATTTGTGCAACAAGTATTTCCACTTAACAACAACAACAACAACAACAACAGGAAAAAGCTGCTGTTGCTGCTGCGGCTTCAGTTGCAGTTGCTGCTGTTGTTGTTGCTGCTGTTGCTTGCCCTCGTCCAAGCCGTGATTACAATTTGATTACGCGCATGAATGCAACGCGCGACGTCGCCAGCAGCAGGAGCAGCAGCAACAGCAACAACATTTTCTAGTTTGTAGCGGCCCAAAGCGTCAAAAAATATTTTCTTTGCACTTGCAATGTGCAACGTGCAACGGCCAGCGACATGCCCCATGCCACATGCATGGAGAGAAGATACATAATGTAACTGGCAGATACATAAGTGCGCTGCTAGTCGCGCTGCATGTTTTGCCCATTTTAGCGGCTGTTTTTTTTTCGTCTTTTTTTTCTTTCGTTTCCAGTTGCAAGTTGCAAGCTGCAAGTTGCCAGTTGCAAGCTGCGAACTGCCAACAAGCCAACTGCGATCTGAGTTTTCGATCTGTGAGTTTTTCCTGTCAACTCTCTCGCACTTGTTGCTGACTACCGACTTGCCCCATTCCACCCCGTCTGCCTCTTCTCCTCCCCCTCCTCATCGTCCTCCTCGTCCTCACTTGTGGCAATCAACACTTGTGATTTTTATCAGGCATAATGATTTCCTTTTCAACATGTGCTAATTAAGAGCCGCTCGCCGTGGCATTACCCTTGAAAAGCTGCTCTGTTCCCAGTTGAAAGCAAATACTGCTGCCTGATCGCCCCGATCTCTTTACAGTGGGCACTAGCAGTATTCTAGCCATATCGATTTATAATAATTCAGCTGTCATTCCCGCAGCTGGCCAATTTTTCACTCACCTCGCACTGCAAAACTGCAAACGTGAGCA